TGGCTCTCGCTGCTGCGCTGCGCTAATCTGCTTAACACTGCTAAGCTGCGCTAATCCTGAAGACTAACTCTCGTTCACTACTAACCTAACCTACTGAGGCTGGTACCCAGCCTTTTGTAGTGCTGCGCCGGCGTCCTACCCGCTGGTACCTACCGGCCTGGACCGATGATCTAGATCAACGGTCCAGTTTCGAAACTGGTTGGCGCCCAAAACGGTGGCAGCCTCTGAAGTGCCGCCGGTAGGTCCTAGGCCGGACTGGTACCGCCTTGTGGCCGTTTGGCCTAGGCCTGCCTTAAACCGTCATGGTCTAGGCCCCTCTAGGCCTCATCTGAACCGTCGTCCCTTAGGCTAACCCCGCCTGTGTGGAACCGGGCCCTAACTGGGGCCCGTGTGGCTCAGTATGCCACACACTCCCCCCCTTGAAAGACCGAGCTAACTACGAAGGCGAAGCTGTCTGTCCGATGTCCGTACAGGGCGGGCAGGTTGGGCAGCTTCCTTAGCAAGTCGCTATTTTTCTTAATGCGCGAAGATGAGGGGTGTTGTCGCCTTCAGATCAGCTCTTGAGATCCAGCGTGTGTCGTTCGGATCGCATTGCTTGAATGTAACTTTGTACTGCATTGGCTTGTTGCCATGCTTGCGATGCGTGAGGACGCGGTCGACCTCCTGATGACCATCCATTGAAGGAGGGTCCTGTGACCGTCTGCCTGGGAAGTCCGTTGCGAAGGCTGGAGTGTAAACCGCCAGCTTTGAAGCGTGAAAGATCGGGTGGACCATCAAATGCGGGGGAATCTCAACGATGAATGATGGACCCGCGGGGTCGTCGCCAGCTGCTGAAGTGACCATCCATGGTCCAAACCACTTCGGGAGGAGCTTGCGCGAGACTTCTTGCTCGAGCACGAATTCCTCGGAGGCGACCCAAACTAGGTCGCCGGCGCGAATTGGACATGGGATGCGACGCCGGTTCGCTTGCTGCTGCATACAGACCTGAGCCTTTTGCATGTTTGCGCGGGCTTTGGCCAGCAGTTCCCTGTACTTCCGTGTAGAAGCGGGGGAGCAAGCGGCGTCTATATCGGCAGCCCGTGGAAGCAAAATGTCTGCAAAGATACATCCTTTCCGTCCACCGTGGTGCAACTCGAATGGAGTCACGCCAATTGCCGGGTGCACCGAAGTGTTGTAGGCGAACTCGATGTCGGGAAGGCGGTCAACCCAGTCCTTCTAATCCGGGCGGATGAGCGTGCGGAGCATCATCTGCGCAGTCTGATGCGCACGTTCCGTTTGCCCATCCGTTTGAGGATGCCGTGCGCAGCTCGGTTTCATGCTGGTGCCGGATTCCACCATGAGTGTCGTCCAAAAGGCCAACATGAAACGAGTGTCGCGGTCGCTGACGATGTCTTCCGGAACGCCATGGCTGCAAAACCAGCCGGTATGCAAAAGTCGTGTGAGCTCGGGAGCCGTCGCATGATACTTGCACGGAAGAAATCGAGCGTACTTGCTCAAACGGTAGACGACCGTGAGAATACCATCATGACCAAGGCGATCGCGAGGGAAAGGACCGGTCACATCCATAGCAATGGAGAGACCCAGTGCCCGAGGAATCGGCAATGGTTTCAGTTCGCCGTAAGGGAGCTGATGGCGCCCTTTGTTCCGATGACAAAATGCACATGACTGAATGCACCGGTTGACGTCGCTGATGATGTCCGACCAGTGAAATCGCTGGCGGAGTCGAGCTAGTGTGTGTGCGACGCCAAGGTGTCCCGCCAGCAGCGAATCATGGTATTCGCCAAGGAGGCGAGTGCGCAAGATGCGGTCTTGGGGAACACACAACAAGTCCTTGCCTCGCGTATGGAGGAGCAAGTAGCCGTCGGTGATGCGATAGTTGCTTGTTGGCGGTTGGTCCGATGACAAGTCCGCGTAGAGTGTGGAGAATCCCGGATCCGACTTGTAGCCGTTTACGAAATGTTGTTGGAGGTCCTCGTCGAGGCCGAACATGGAGTGCACCATGGCGCAAAGATCGGGTCTTTGCGAGAGAGCATCCGCCGCCTTGTTCGAGGAGCCCGGAATGTGCTTGGAGGTGAAGTCGAACTGGTCAATGAAGTACATCCACCGACCGATCGTGCTGCTCACCGTGTCTTGCGTCTTGTAATACGTCAACGGATTGTTGTCAATTGCCCACGTGAATCGCCGACGCCCGAGGAGAAAGTGATGCCAACGCTCAAGTACGGTGACAAAAGCTAGGAGTTCCTTCTTCCTCGCATCATCAAGAGTGTTGATGGGCGGCACCTTTTGGCTGAAGTACTCAACCGGATGCCAGTCTGTGCCGTCATGCTGTTCCAAACCGCGCCAATGCCATAACCGAAAGCGTCCGTAGTCACTTTGGTAGGCAACGTCGGGTTATAGATGCTTAAGACGGGAGCTTGAAGCAAAGCCGTCTTCAGCGTGTGAAACGCATGTCGGGCCTCGTCACTGAACTCGAAGCGCACCAAGGGGGACTGAAGTCGCGACAATGGTGCAGCGATGCGTTGAAATCCTTTGACGAAGCGCATGTAGTGCGATGCCAAGCCGAGAAAGGAGCGGACGTCGGTAGTACACTTGAGGTCCGGCCAATCTTGAATAGCTTGTACCTTGTCCGCGAGCGGACGAATGCCTTGCGGCGTGACGTAATGGCCCAAGTACTCCAGCTCTTGCTGGGCAAACTCGCACTTGTCGCGGTTTGCCTTGTACTTGGCGATATGAAGCCGCTCCAAAATGGCGCGAAGGTGCTCGAGATGCTCGTCCAACGACCGACTATAAACCAAGATGTCGTCGAGGTAAATGAGTACGGGGCGGTCGAGTACGTCGAGGAATTCCGTCGTCATAGCCGCTTGGAAAGTAGCTGGGGCATTGGTGAGACCGAAAGGCATGACGATCCACTCAAAGTGCCCATACCGCGTCTTGAAAGCGGTTTTGTACCGATCTCTTGGCTGAATCTCGATCTGGTGATAACCGGACTTGAGCCCAAGCTTCGAGAAGTACTTGGCGCCGACTAGTCGCTCGAGAAGATCATCGATCCGAGGGAGAGGGTCGGCGTTCTTGATCGTTTGTGCGTTAAGTTTTCGGTAGTCGATGCACAAACGGAGGTCCTTGTTCTTCTTCCGGACGAAGAGAACAAGAGCACCGTATGGCAAACAGCTAGGGCGAATCCAGCCCTTGGCTAAGAGGTCGTCTAGTTGTGCCCGAAGCACTTGTAGTTCTTCTTCGCTCATGCGGTAGATACATCCGCGCGGAGGTACGGCGCCGTCCTCGAGAGTGATCCCGTGGCATATGGGCCGATCCGGTATGACTCCGGCGGGAGCTTGAAAGACATCCTCATAGTTGTCCAACAGCTCAATGATGTGTGGGTCCGACGTATCCGTCTTGAGCTGATCACCGGGTGGGAGGGCGTGAAGAAAACATATGCCCATCTCCTCGATGTCGTTCCGCTGGATGGATTGGCGAATGCTCGCCGCGGATACCACGTGACAACCAATCGAAGGATGAGGATGTCGTTCCGCTGGATGGATTGGCGAATGCTCGCCGCGGATACCACGTGACAACCAATCGAAGGATGAGGAAGCGGCACCATACACGGGACTAGTTCGCCACGCCGATCACGAACGTGAACGGTGCGTCGATGGAAGGTCACTGGATGGTCTTCGCTTTGCAGCCACGACATGCCTAGGATCATATCGAATTTAGTGTCCAATATGTCGAAAGACACGGCCTCGCATGCTAGCGGGGCAAAGTACACGGGCACCGAGTCAACGCATCGGTCGATTGACTTTTGTGTATGACCATCGGCCAGCGTGACGTGCGTAGGCTGACTTTTACTCCGAACGCGCGGGCCCAGCCCGACGCGTGCCATGAAGTCTTGGCTGATGTAGTTGCAAGTCGCTCCATAATCGATCAAGGCACTACAGGTCGCCTTTCCGAGCTGAATGCGGATGTAGAGGAGTGGCGCGTCGTTGTCGACGTACCGTTGCGTTGCGTACTCGTGATCGATCTTCACAAGATAGTTACGAAGGTCAACAACCGCTACTCCGCCGTCCGTCGACGGAGGTGGTACTGCAGCGTGCAAGTATTCGCGTAGATGTGCCATTAAGGCATTGCAATACGGAGTTGGCAAAGAACCGGTGGAGGGAAGAGGCAACCATTGGAAGTCCTCAACCGTCAACGGGTCGAGATCCTCAAGTCTCGCCCAAGTTGACGGATCCTCCGATAAAAGGGCTGGCGAAGCAACCGGTTCCATGTCTGACAGCGGAACTGCCGCGCATACGCTTGAATCTTGCACGTGGAGAGGCTGGTTCAACGGTGGGACCAGCTCTACAACATAGTTCTCGTACTCAACGCGAGAACTTGCGACTACCACGATGTCCCTAGATGTGAGAGAGGCTGCTAGCAAGGCAGCCGACTCCAGCGGACTGGGAAATGTTGTCGCTGCACTTCCCGCGGGGCTCAGTTTCCCGAGCCCAAATGCTTGACATTTTCCTTATCCTTGTCGAGGCAGGCACGGGTGATGTGTTTGGTGCTGTTGCACCACAAACAGCATGACCATTTCTGTCGCAACTTGAACATTTCTTCAGTAATGCCAAATTTCGTCCATGGTGCCTGTCGTGCTCCTTCCGCCGACGCTTCTTTCGCCTTCTTTCCCCCTCAGGGTTTCGTGCGTCGCGGAGGTATCGCTGCCACCACATCTCCATCACTTGATGTTGAAGCGACGGCGTGGTCCTCACTTCTTCCTTGTTGGACTGCTGCTACTTGCGGCGTCTGTTGTCCCTTGCCTTTCTCCACGTAACCGGGTTGTTGGCGGGCCTCGTTAGCCGCACGCCGGTTACCTTGTATAAGTTCTCTAGCTTTGGCGATCATGTCGTCAAAGTTCTTATACTCGAATTCGCTGCCGAGAGCAGCTGTCAAGGCGCTTCAAGATCGAGCGAAGAACTCACCTCGGATTGAGTCGAACGGCAGGTTCAACTCCGGGGTGGCGACGAGTCTTTGCCACTCCGTCAGCCATTCCCGCGAAGGTTGTTGGCCTTGGAAGATGTGGAAGATCTTGTTCAAGGCGACGCTTGTCGTTGTTCACCATGAACCGGGTCTTCCACTTCTTTTCAAACTCCTCCCACATGATCTTCGTGTGGAGGGTGGCGATGGTACATTCTAGCGTGACGGCCATGTGCGTCATGAATTGTTGCGCCCCACCTATAAGTTGGAGGTACAATGTGTCCATCCGCCGTAAGGGCGGAGTATGATGTACGTCGGCCTCTGTGTTAAACGCCATCCACCATTGCAGCGGATCCGTCTTGTGGTAATCGTCGAACTTCTCGATCTTGAAGTTCGACATTTTCCATTCCTTGGCGGCAGCGGTCGGTCGTTGGTCGACGCGGTCGCTGAGCGTCTGCAGCTGATTGCTGACTGTCGACGCTCCAGCAAACTTGCTGATGTCGCCCAGGGATGTGACAATGTGATTGATCCGCTCATCGAGCTGTTTGGCTTGAGCGGCCAAAGTTGGGCTGCTGTCTGAAACTGCATCGCCCGTTGACTCGACTGCGGACACAGTCGTGCCATCCCGGCATCGACGGAGTCCTGCAGTCGGTCGTTGATGGCCTGCTGTTGGCTGTCGGCGGCCTGCAGCATGCCGGTGTCGGCCTGCAGGGCCGTGATGTGCTGGTCCATTGCCTTGAAGTTGCCTTCATGGCGGATGAGGACCTGCCGCATAGCCAACAGTTCCCTTTGTTGCCAATTGCACGTGTATAGCAGGTTCTCAATCAAGACTGCTGTAGTTTCTCTATTTCTCTCGTCCTCGGTTGGTTCGTCTTGCTCCTCAGTTGCTCGGAAGTGCTGCTGTCGAAGTACTCTGCCGTATGCAGCTTCTTCGTTGAGAAGGTTCATGGCAGCCTGGAACCGAGCCTGAGTCTGACTTGCCTCGAGCTGCTGCTGCTGCTGCCTTGCGGCTGCTGCAGAATCGGCACCGGCCTGCTGATGTGCTGCCTGTTCCGCTTCTTGTTGAAGTTGGATGGCTTCCCGTCGGGCGGCATTCTCCTTCTCCCATGTGCGGAGTTCGGTGGCATTGGTCTCCGTATAGTGTTGGAGACGCTCGAGAAACGCGAGTGCGTCTTCATCTGCCCGTTGAACTGGCACAGGAGGGGGAACCGGCCTCTTGGGACTGCCCGACATGTTGCTGTCGGCGTGGCCGGCTGCTGCAGCCATGGCTGTGCGTCGCTTGTGCGGGAGCTGTGGTGCCTTGGATCCCTGTTGGGGCTTGGCGGACTTAGATTCGCGCTCTGCCAATCGTTGGCTGCGGCGCATTTAGTGTCCGGCTTCACGTTACAGCTGACGTGGCACTCTGCTGACGTGGCACTCTGCTGACGTGGCACTGTGCTGACGTGGCACTCTGCCGACGTGGCACTTTGACGTGTCCACTCTGCTGACGTGTCACTTCTGACGTGTCACTCTACTGACGTGGCACTCTGCTGACGTGGCACTGTGCTGACGTGTCCGGAGACTGTAGTCTGAAGGACCGAGAGGAGGAAAGAGAACGTAGGGGTGGGAAGAAGGGAGGGCAGGCAAGCAATGCACAGGCAGTCCCGTTCTGCCCTGACCTTGACACTAATCAAGAGAAAAAAAAAAATCCCCCCCCTCCCACGATGAATTTTCAAATTTAGGGAAATTAAAATAAAATTTTAATAAAAAAATAGGAATTAATAAGATTTTAATTTCGGCAAAAGATTAAATACTTGATTAACGAATGTTTACATTTGCAATAATGAATTTTGCAAACGTTAAATATTTAATCAAAAGATCTAAATTTGCATTAATAAAAAAAATGAATAAGTTTAAGCAAGTTTAAACATTTTAGACATAACTTTCAAAAATTTTCATGAAATTTCGTCGGAAGAATTTAGCATCATCACGAGATCATTCATTGAGTAGAAGATGGTAGTAGCACGAAGATACACAATTTGCTGGAAAGATTCAACCTTTCAATCGCAAAAAGATGCAGTTTTGCAAAGAGTGAAAGTTCCGTGAAGTTGCAGTTCGAATATGGCCTTTGCTCAGGCCCGATCAGCCTTGATTGGCGCGGTGCCTGGCTGGCACTTACTTCCGATAGGTTAGGTAGGTCGTTTAGATTAGGTTAGACCTAACCCTAATTAGCGCTAATTAGGTTTACTCGTAATTAGCTATTTCCTAATTGCGCGATATAGAGAAATGTCGCAAACCTAAAATTATAGTTGAAACGACCCAATTAATCCTAAGAGTACGAGAAAAGAAAAAGAAAAAGAAAAAATTGCAACTTGCGATTAAATGATAACAGAGTGGTATTGATAATCAATCAATCAATCAATCAATCAATCAATCAATTAATGGTGAGTAATCCAATGCTGGTCTGCTCCGATACCAAACTGTTGCATACTCGTCAAACACATTCATAAGGATGGCGCAGATTCCCAGAACCGACCAGATAATACAGAGTTATACAGATGCAAGCGGAAGACTTGAGATACCTTGGACTGACTCAGACATGACTCAGACTATAATCGAACACTCTCAACATTCATCAGGGTGTGAATGTCCTGGCCGCGAGTTATAGACGAAGGGCCAGGGCCGAGATCATACACGGACGAAAGGGGAGAGGAGGGAGACGAAGGAGGAGGAGAGGGAAGATGACGTCAACTCAATGCTTCCAAAGATAGTAACTTGAACTGTCAAAAGTGACGAAAATCCGAAATGTCGCGAATGACAAGTCTCACAATATCCCTGATGTCGATCTCACAATGTCAAGTACATCTCCAAAAAGGAAGATGAAATCAGATCCCAAATAGTCCTGAACTCGTAGTCCCAATGTCGCTGTCTCAAATATCATCAGAACTCGTAACCATCTCTCATACTGCAATAGTCCCATAGGAGAACCCTGAATAAACTGAGAAGGTAGGAGGGGAGAGAGAGAGAGAGAGAGAGAGAGAGAGAGAGAGAGAGAGAGAGAGAGAGAGAGAGAGTTGGAGGGCGGAGGAACAGAGGGAGAGGAGGCAGAGCCTTCCTCCCGGTACCTGGCTATGGCGTGGCAAGGCCGCGACGCTGTTCCTCTCGCTGCTGCGCTCGCTGTCTCCTTCCGGCCCTGGCTCTCGCTGCTGCGCTGCGCTAATCTGCTTAACACTGCTAAGCTGCGCTAATCCTGAAGACTAACTCTCGTTCACTACTAACCTAACCTACTNTGGCTCTCGCTGCTGCGCTGCGCTAATCTGCTTAACACTGCTAAGCTGCGCTAATCCTGAAGACTAACTCTCGTTCACTACTAACCTAACCTACTAAGGCTGGTACCCAGCCTTTTGTAGTGTTGGGCCGGCCTCCTACCCGCTGGTACCTACCGGCCTGGACCGTTGATCTAGATCAACGGTCCAGTTTCGAAACTGGTTGGCGCCCAAAACAGTGGCAGCCTCTGAAGTGCCGCCGGTAGGTCCTAGGCCGGACTGGTACCGCCTTGTGGCCGTTTGGCCTGAGCCTGCCTGAACCGTCATGGTCCAAGCCCCTCTAGGCCTCATTTGAATCGTCGTCCCTTAACCCCGCCTATTTGGAACCGGGCCCTAACTGGGGCCCGTGTGGCTCAGTATGCCACACACACACACACAATCAATCAATCAATCAATCAATCAATCAATCAATCAGTCAAGATCCTATCGATTCGATAGGATTTTGATTCATTGATTGATTGATTGATTGATTGATTGATTGATTGATTCTCTCTTTCTCTTCTCTCTTTCTCTCTCTCCCCATCTCCGCTTTGTTTCTCTCTCTCTCTCCTTTCGCTCTCTCTCTCTCTCTCTCTCTCTCTCTCTCTCTCTCTCTCTCTCTCTCTCTC